TCGTGTGTTTAGCTCGAAACCAAGTTTCCTGGTGTCATTAAGCCCACTTGCATTTGAAGATTACCTAATCTATATATTTTGATTGAACATTTCATAAGTTGCATAAATTTGTCAAAAGTGGTTTAATGTCCCCAAAGGTGTTTGAACCTGTTTTACAAGTACCACTCCCAACCTCAATTAAGTGGAGGGGTCAGTGGAGATAGGAGGGGAGAAGGATCTGCAGAGGGTCTTCCCCTAAAAGCTAGACCCTCCTGCTAGGAAGAATCCCTGGAGTGTCTGTGATCCTGAGGGAAGGTGACAATAATTGGGGCAGGAAGGGGTGGGGGTTCAGTCTAGGGTGGGGTCACCTAGAATTGGGAGGAAGGCGGGAAACTAATTTGCAGGGCTGGGCTGTGAGGAGGGGACTGTGAAGGACTTCAGAACACCTTAAGTAATCTTCATATTTGATTGAAAGATAAAAACGGAAGAAACTGGTTTTGGCAGATTGGACTTCTAGGGAGTTAGCAACTTGCTGTGACCAAGTCTTGGTTGGTTCAGGACCTGACCCTGGGCCTGGAGGGCTCGCAGTGGCATCGGGACACAGGGACCAGTTTCCCAGAGTCCTCAGTGCTCTCCAGGGCCACAGCAGGCATAAAGCATTGCTGCCTGCTGGCGGGGTGGGTTCTGGTGAGCTGAGCTGGGTGGGATTCCCAAGGAAGGATTCTTAAGCTACAGAGTCAAAGGAGGTGGGAGGCCAGTCTAAATGGGAAGGAAAAGTTCTGAAGCAGTGGAGAACTGGGAAAGGGCTCTGCAGGTGGGAATCTTCTGTCCCTCAGTGGCAACACTAGCCCATTCTGGGAGGGGTGGGGCAGGGACGCTCATCTTTAGGAGGTCTGGAAGGGACCATGAAGGGGATCAGACATGGACAAACTGTCCTGCCCAAAGGCGTCCCTTGGTGAGACCTGCTCAGTAACAACAGCATTGGTAGTCTGAGGGATTATGGGTTGGGAGTAAGGAACTGCTTGTACCTCAGCCTTCCCAATACACCTTGCTTTGGTCAGAGCCCACCCAGGCCCCCTGGGCTCTGATCTGAATTCCTAACTAGAGTTTTGTGCAGAGTTCACCTCTTTACCCCTCTTTCCAGTTTGAAGTCCTGGTGCCATAAACCAATTGAAGCAGAATGTTGTGGTAGAATGTGGGCTCTGTTCCAAGGAGCTGTGCCATCAACCCCCTCCACAGACCCTCACACCTCAGGATGGGGGTGTGCGGGAATTGGACAGGCGAACACTGGGATGTGCTCTTGGTGACGCCTGCCCAGGGATGGGATGAGTGGAGGGCATCCATGTCTTTGGCCCCACAGGGTGGGAAGGAACAGAAGGCAGGATGACCTACTTCAAAACGGGCTCCTTTCAAAGCAGCATGGCTGTGACTGGGGGCTGCTTTAAATGGGTCAGCCTTCATATGTTCATGGGTCTTAAACTCGTCAAAACTTGGCTGTTAAAACGTCTCTATCTTGTTTTCATTAGCTTGTAAGCCATGGCGATGGGGACCTGCCTAGTTTTCTGAACCAGCAAATGTGTCCAGAGGCTAATAAACAGCAGGTGCTTCCAATAAATGTGATTGTACTACTTAATGTAAATATATGAGCTGGTCAATGCAAAACAAAAGACGAGGGCTAAATTCTACAGGTAAGCCCTCAGCCGTTTTGAACTGAGAACTATATGGTGTATGGTGTGTGTACATGGGATATGTTTTATGTGTGCAGGATATATGTGCAGTGAGTGGGGAGTGTTTTTTTTGTGTGTGTGGGCAATGTATGTATGTGTGGTGTGAGGTAAGGAATGAGAGCAAGTGTGTATGTGAATATGTGTATGATGTGTGTGAGTGTATAAGTGTATAAGTGTGTGTAAGTATAAATGTATGATGTGTGTGTGCTTCAAGAGAAGGCTCCACCAGAATGGTTAGAGACAAAACTAGCCACATACTTTGTAGCACCCAGTGCAAAATGAGAGAGTGGGGTACATTGTTCAAAATATTTTGGTGTGTGAGGGGTGTGGAGGGTGAGGATTTCCTGAGCCCTTCCTGTTTATTGTCCTGATTTTCAGAGCACACTCAGGAGATGCTAAGGGTAATAATGAGGGTGTTCTCATCCCAATACCTGTACTTGTCAATAATTAGCTATGATTTCCTAGGTTGTGGGAGGAGGCAGAGGAACCAGGCCTGCCCTAGCTGGTTTAGCTCACTGTTCCATTAACATTGTGATTCCAAGATCCCTGAGTGGTGCTTGGGAGTTCTAAGTCTGAGTATCTTCCAAGGGTTAAGGGAACTTGAGAACTCATTTCACCACTCCCATGATCCTGGCCAGAAACCCACTCTTGGTTTGTGACCCCTTCCATCTGCCGTGGTAACTAATTGACTCCTGTATGCTTCTGCCAAGGGATCCCAGATGAGGCTGTGGGTACAGATACATCCTGCCTAAGCCAAAGTGGGGAAGGATGGGGGCAGGGTGGGCTTGGGCTCCTTAGTCAGAGAGATGATTTGGCTCACGTGGTTGGGCCAAGGTGGGGGTTGCTGTAAATGTATTGATCACCAGCCTTGGGACTTTGCCTGTCCCAGAGGGACAGTGCCCAAGGCCCCACTGCAGGAGTATGCTGATAGACTGGCTTTCTAGGGAAATGAAAAAGGTCCTTGTTTAACATTTGCCAAATTTCTGTGGTGTAAACTCTCACCATGTCCCATTTAGAGTTATCAGCAGTTTAACAACTGGCTTACAAAATTCCTAAATACTTAACAATCAACTCATGCCCACTGACCATTGAGACCAGAGCCCCCACTAGTGATCACCAGCAGCCCTCTACTTCCCTGCCCTTGTTTGCACAGCGATCTTTTCTGAACATTGGATAGACAGAGAGCCAGCTTCAGGGTCCTGGAAGAAGGCTGGCCAGCTTGACTCACAGGTTATGATGCTCACTGAGGTGAAAGATGTGCATTGACTTTGCCCAAGTGAACCCCAAACCCAAGCAAGTGAAGCACCATGACCCATGTACCCAGGGGCTGCCCATTACTACTCCAGAACAATGGAGAGATCTGACTTCAGTATCCACCACCAGGGTTTGAAAAACCACAGTTTGGGACATCTAGCAGTCTCAGCTTGACAGCTGACAAGCCACCTTGCCTCTTCCCCCCTTGACCCACCAGCCTTCTCACTCATTCCCACTTCCTATTTGGTTTATACTGGTGTTTGCTTTGGCACCTGGCCAATAAGAGACCAGGTATTCGAGGTGATGAACTTGAAGGAGCCAAGAAGCCACTGGGTCAGCTCCCCAAGCAGTAGAACAACACCTATCCCACAACTGGGAGTCTACCCACAAAAGTTTACTTATGGAAGGGGCTTCCTGGTCTTGCAGGTGGCCAGGCCATTTCTCTGCATGCAGATTTCTCATTGTGCAATCTTCTCGGAGACCCACCTGCTCTTGACACCTTCCCAGTGACTCCATTTCCCCCTCTTTTGGGCTTTTGGAATGCCACAATGGCCCCACCTTGGCCAGGCAGCTGCAATGACTGGTGTTGACCCAACTGCTGGCTCACTGCATGAGGTGGCAGGGGCTAGAGCCAGCTGGGACTGGAGCCAGCAGCAGGGACTGAGGGTCTTTTCGGTGTGGCCAGGGATTCTGGGACCATGCCGGGCAGGACTGGGGCCACCTCTTGGATTCAGCCAGGAACTGGACGCTACAGGTGTAGGGAGCTGGCAACACCAGGAGAAAAAGCCTTAGAGCCACAGGTGTGCCACAGATTCTTCCCCTTCTTGTTCCTTAATCTTTCCTACTTGGTAACAGCACATAGCCAGGCCCCAGAGTAAGTGTCCTGAGGACCAGAGACAATCACAAATGCCATCTTTTGTGTGGGGCCCAGACTCTGGTTCATAGCAGGAGACAGACAGGTGAGCAAACCATCTCAGCACTCTGTGACACACATTCAATCAGATGTGGAGCCTATGTCTAGGACAGAGTAGAAGGCTCCACAGGAGGTGACATTTAAACGAGGTCCCCTCAATAGCCCCAATCTCCCTGTGCAGGCCCCTGCCAGGCCTCTGGCCCCAGGATTCATAGCTCTGCTTTGCAGTCATCACAGGGCATCCCAGGACTGCCTGCTTGCAAAACCCCACCAGTGGGAGCGTCATACATGACCTCCTCCAGCCAGAGCTTTCCTGGTTCTCCTTGCTGGCAACACCAACATGGAGATGTTTCCCTCCAAACAAAAAGGGAGTGGAATCCCCCATTCCCCTTTCCATACAGAGGACCAGGTTGGGGGGTTAGAGGAGGAGGGCTGCAATTCTTGGGGAAGGGGCTAGAGAGATCAGGCAGGGAGGAGACAATGTGTGTTGCCTAGAGGATGGGGGCTTACACAGAGCCAGAGGCAGAGTCCACTGGACCAGAAGCAGCCCTATCCTGTGTCCACTCAGCCCACTTCAGAACCCTAATGATAGCCCACAGGTGGGAGCTAGCCTCAAAACATGCTGACTCTGAATTGTGATCAATAAGGGAAAATTCCTCTAGCACTTGAATTCATGGAAAATGTGTGGGTGTCTGTGTGTATGTCCTTAGTCATTTAAAAAATGATCCCTGTGCATTCATGATTCTGGGGCCTTCCTTTATCTTCCTTTCCAGGACATCCATTGGGATCCAGTATTTGGGTTAGGATGTTTAAGAAACACCCATTCAGCACCTGGCACCCAGTAGGAGGTCAATCAATGTCAGCTCCTTTCTCTTGCCCACTCTAAGTGGTCACTTAGAGGTGAAGCCAGAGAGGATTTCCCAGTCTGAAAATGGATGGGCACCTGGTCCCTGTCCCTCACTCCTTCTTTGGCTGATGATAAACATCGGGATGTCACAACATCCTTCGTGTCCTCATGTGTTATTCTGGGACTCAGGCTGGGGAGGGTACCCGGGTACGTCCCCTCTGATTGTGGCAGGCCTTTCGGGTAACGTGGGCTGGCCTTGGATCTGGCCCTTGGATGGATGCAGAGGGTGAGGCACTGAACCTGCTAGTCAGGCAGGATGCTGGCAGGAGGGCGGGCTGAGAAGGGGTGGGGCTTATAGAACAAAGGAGAACTGGGAGCCCCAGGGGCCCAGGCTAGGCATCAAAAAGGCCCTGCAGAGCCAGCAGGCCACAGCATTAGCCGCCTCTGCACCCAGCAGGCCATCAGACAACCTTAGTCTGGTCCCTTCTGCTTGCCCACGGCTGGGCAAGTAACCAGAACTTTGTTTAGAAGGCCTTGTTCTCCAGCGTGATTGCGCCGACACTATTCTGTGGCTTTCTCTGTTTGGCGTGGGTTGTGACTGCAGTTCCAAAGGAGAGCAGAAGCATGGCCGGGAGCAGAGCCAGGAGCCAGGAAGGCTGCCGGGAGCACGCCTTCATCCCAGAGCCTTTTGATGGAGCCAACCTCACCCCACACCTCTGGCTGCACCGCTTCGAGGTCATCAACGATCTCAACCATTGGGACCATATCACCAAGCTGAGGTTCCTGAAAGAGTCCCTCAAGGGAGATGCTCTGGAAGTCTACAGACGACTCAGTCTTGAGGACCAGGGAGACTATTGGGTTGTGAAAGAAACCCTGCTGAAGACCTTTGGCGGCCCTAGTGCTTCCCATAGCCACCTGCCCAAAGAGATCGTCTTTGCCAACAGCATGGGTAAGGGCTACTACCTCAAGGGGAAAATTGGCAAAGTGCCTGTGAGGTTCCTGGTGGACTCTGGAGCCCAGGTTTCTGTGGTCCACCCGAGCTTGTGGGAAGAGGTCACTGATGGTGATTTGGATACCCTGAGGCCCTTCGAGAATGTGGTCAAAGTGGCCAATGGTGCTGAAATGAAGATCCTGGGTGTCTGGGATACCGTGGTGTCCCTGGGCAAGCTGAAGCTGAAGGCAGAGTTCCTAGTGGCCAATGCCAGTGCTGAAGAGGCCATTATTGGTACTGATGTCCTCCAGGACCACAATGCTGTTCTGGACTTTGAGCATCGCACGTGTACCCTGAAAGGAAAGAAGTTCCGCCTTCTGCCTGTTGGAGGGTCCCTGGAAGATGAGTTTGACCTGGAGCTCATAGAGGAGGAGCCCTCCTCAGAGGAGGGGCAGGAGCAGCTTTCCTACTGAGAAGCCCCCTTTCTTACCCTCCCAACCTTGGTGGGACATCCACTAGCATAGGGGGTATATATCCTCAGGGGAGTCATTGGGCTTGGCCAACCCCCTAAAACCAACCCTTGCCCTCCCCCTCCCTCTGCAGGGGCCTTCATCTGCCCCTGGTTGGGGAGGCTCCCATTTAAAAAGGCACAAGTGAGGGAGAGCAGGCAGGCTTTCTTTGGGGGAGAGGATCCCCATGGTTCTCAAACGGCTATTGGTGGCAGAGACTTGAAGGTTCAAGAATGCTAGAAATGGTTGTATTTGATAGAGGACTGGGGAACTCCTTCAGGTTCCCTGAGGTGTAGCTCAGTCACCTGTGGGTCCACAAAGGCTGTCTCAGAGGGACTGGGTATGGCTACAGGGTCCTCATGAGCTCATGGGTGAGGGTCACAGCTGCTCTGGGATTCTTCCCTGTTGAGTCTTCCCACCTGTGCAATGGTATGTTTCCTTCTGTCATTTACTTTGAAACCCACTGAGCCTTGTGCCGATAATTCAATTACTTCAAAAACCAATAAAGATTGAGTCATGGAAAACCCATGTAATGTGTTGATTGGAGATGAATGTGATGGATGTGTGAGGGTGGGGAAAACAAGGAATAAATGTCAACAGGATGGAATAGCCAAGTATTTATTGAATGCCTTCTATGGTCCTAGCCTGGAGATATAAAGGGAATATTTATTTATTTATATTTATATATATCTTGGATGTTCTGAGGCAGCCTCTTCACAAATTTTTCCTCATTCCCTCCCATGATTTCTAATCTTTTCGTATTGCCTTTAATCATTTCAAACTGCAATATTTTAGCATCCAAATGACCCCTTATACTCAAAGGTGACCCTAAAGGTATTTGAGAGATGTCTAGATTGGGGATTGAAAAATGGTGGTTATTGTAAACAAACTGGAAATTATCTCCTAGCAAAGAGGTTCTTGTAGCCCCACCGGGAGTCAGAACTTGGAGGCAGAAAGCGAGGTCAGAAGGCAAGGGTTGATCTGTGTGGGGCAGCCCAAGGGAATTCTGGAGGATAGAGGAGGGGGCTACAATGGGCTTCAACAACAGGGACTCCAAAAGTGGGTGGACAGCTTCTTCCTGGAAGGACCTGAAACAGAGTCTGACACTAGAGAGACTGATGGAGTGGGGAGGACATGCCTAGATCCATGAACAGGGTGCTCATCCCTTTTGGGAGTCCACCAGATGTTTTCTTCCAAGTTCCTGCCTGTCCCTCTGAAAATCAGCAGGACTGGGAATCTGAAGGCCTTCAACCCAAAGGGAGAAGTTGAGTGGATAGAAATCTCCATGAAGGAGCAGATTTGTCCTCAATCTCCCCACCAAGTCCATCTGGACAGTCAGTTCTCAGGGGTGGGTGACCATGCCCTCTGAGCTGACCATGGCCACTGGAAGGTGGCCCAAGGCCAAAGGCTTTGACCTGAGGGAAGACTGAAGGGCACAGGGGCTGAGAGGTGGGAAGGGCCATTTTCCCATCATGAAGGTGGAACAAGCCTTTCCTGGAAGTTTACCACCTGGACATCCCTGAGGGAGAGACAAGCAGCCTGCGTGGAGAGCCAGCACATGGGGCTCCCTTCTTCCTAAGAAGCCACTAGGACTTGCCTTTGGGTCTCTTGAAACTGTTTAAGCAGCTCCTGGCTATGATTCTCCCTGGGAATGAGGCCTCCCATTCAACCCCTAATCCGTAGTTTACTGAAGCCTGGTCTCTGGGAAGCCAAACATCTTAACCAGAATTAGATTGTCAGCCCCAGGGCATGTGGGGCACATGGCAGGGCGAGGAAGCCTTTTCCCCAGGAAAGCAGGCCTGGAGAAGGGGGGTGCACAGTGGAAGGGCTTGGGAGAACTGGAGGAGGAATGGTCCTTATGCCTTCCAGGTCCTGTGTCCCCTTCTCAAGTTTGTTTTTCAGCCTCCCTCTCTGCTGACCGTTAAAGTGCTGCTTCTCTCCTGGGCCAGATCTCTTCTGAGAGAACAACCTAGATGGCACCTTCCTGTGACCTATTTTCCTCTGAGTCCTTCCGGTCCTAGCCATTTGCTGGGCTGAAGGAAGGAGGTGAGGAGTATGAGGAGGTGATAAGGTGTTGGGGTGAGGGGGATTAGGTACATAGGCCAGAATTCCAGGGCAACACCCAAGCTGTCCCTTCCTTGTCTTTTCTCACACATGGCAGGGAGCTGAGCCCTGTCCCAGACAAACAAAGAAATAACCTATGTCCCATAGCACAGCCCCTTTGTCCTGCCCTCCTGTCCTAGACTGAGTGAGCAAAAGCCCTCTGAGCCAGCAGGCTCCCCACTCCCACAGCTCTGCGGTCTCTCCTCCTGCTCTGCCCTGGGATGAAGGGAGTAGGAGTGGGCCCAGCAAGAAGGGAGTCTGTGATGTCTGCATCATGGCTCTGATTTGGAGGCCCAGAGTGAAACTTAAGACAGGTGCTACGTGGGTGTGAGAGAGACTGCGAAAGCAAACATGTGACAGTGGAACCTGGGCTGCAGGATCGTGGCTGGCTGCTCTCCTAGGAGCAGAGTATCAAAGGGGGGCTGGGAGACAAGCCAGGAAAAGTGGGTTGAGGCCACATCACAGAGGGCTTGATGCCTGGGTGAGGACTTCTCACTTGACTTACTTGGCCGGTGTTTGAGCAGTGGAGGAACAGGAAGACTTACCTGGCTTCTGAGTCTAGGATGGAGTGAAGGGGCAACAAAGCAGTCCAGCTTGGAAGTTACGTTTCTAAACTTAGGGAGGTCCTGAATTCAAGCTGATGGGAAGGAGGACTTATACGCAGACATCAATGTAAAGGTTTAATCCTGGTTGTATGTTAGAATCAGCTGAAAGACCAATTAAAATCAGCTCTTCCTGTGATTCTAAGGTTTGAGACTGCCTGGTGTAATCACCAGTGGTATATATATTCTTGCTACCCAAGGGATGGTCCCTAGACCCACAGAAAGGCAGCATCAGCATCAGCATCACCTGGGGGCTTTTTAGAAACGCAGAACCTTTATCCCCACCCCGACCTGCATCAAAATCTGCATTGAACAGATTCCCAGGTGATTCTCATGCATATGAAAGTTTGAAAGATGCTAGCCTAGAACATTCTAGTATCTCTAGTCAAGGAGAGCTCATGGTCCCTACAGGATAAGCCCTGCTTCTCTAATAAGGACCACCACATACAGAATGCCTGACTGCCCCGACTATACTAGATAATCCTCATGCTTTTATTCTGCAAACATTTATTTTTAAACTTTTTGAAATAATTTCAGACTTAAAAATAAGTTGCAAGAGTAATAGAAAGAATTTCTGAGCATGTTTCATCCAGTTTCCCCAAATATTAATATTTTACCAACTAACTTTATAATTTTCACTCACTCTCATTCTCTTTCTTTCTATGTTGTTGTTGTTGTTATGTGCTATCGAGTCAGACCCGACTCATAGCGACCCCTCCTTGGGATTCCAAGGCGGTATCACTATGGAAGTAGATTGCCCCATATTTCTTTCTATATGTGTATATAGTTGCTTTCCTAAACCATTTGAAAATTTCAAATATGATGCACACACACACACACCAAACTCACTGCAATTGAGTTGGCTCCGACTCATAGCGACCCCTCCTGGGTTTCCGAGGCGGTATCACTATGGAAGTAAATTGCCTAACCTTCCTTCCAAGGAGTGGCTGGTAGGTTTGAACAGCCAGCCTTCTGGTGAGCAGTGAAATGCCTTAGGCACTACACCACCAGAGCTCCCTAAATAGTGTTTCCAGTAATATCAGACAGTGTTTCACTGCTATTCATAAGGTTTTCGCTGGCCAGTTCTTTCAGAAGAGGATGGCCCCTTCTTCTTCCCAGTCTGTTTTAGTCTGGAAGTTTCACTGAATCCGTTCAGCATGGGTGACCCTGCTGGTATTTGAAATACTGGTGGCATAGCTTCCAGCCTCACAGCAACACACAAGCCACCACAGTACAACGAACTGACAGACCAGTGGTGGACGAGTGGTTCAGTGTTTTCTTCTGTTGTTCACAGGTCTCTATGAGTTAGAACCAACTTGACGGCACCTAGCAACAACAACAACTTTAGTGTTTATTTCTGAAAAACAACAACAACAAGGAATTCTCTTATATAAACTATAATATAATTCTTAAAATTAGGAAATTAACATTGTCATAATAATGGTATCATAAAATCTGTAGACATTATTCAAAATTTCTGACTTGTCCAAGTAATGACCTTTATAACAAAGGACAAGTATTTTGTCTGGTCCAGGATCTAATCCAGCTACACACTGCATTTAGCTGTTTTGGCTTGTTAGTCTCCTTTAATCTGGCGTACTCCCTCACTGTGTCTTTGTCTTTCATGACCTTCACGTTTTTTAAGCAGACTGGGCAGTTCTTTCCTAGAATCTCTCTCAAGTGGGGGAATCTGATGTTTTCTTGTGATCAGATTCAGGCTCTGTGTTTTTGGCAGGAATACCTGGAAGTGATGTTGTGTTGTTCACGGTACATCGTATCAGGAGGTGCAGGATGCCTGTTTGTCCCATTACTGGTGAGGTGAACTTGGATCACTGCTTGCTCAAGATGGTATCTACTAGGCTTCTCCGCTGTGAAGTAGTTTTTTCCCTGTGTGATTAGTACATATCTTGTGGGGAGATACTCTGAGACCATAGAAGTGCCCTGCTTCTCCTTAGACTGTCACCCATTAGATTTAGCATCCACTGATGATGCTTGCCTGAATTCCTTGTTACTGTGATGGTTGCCAAATGATGACTTCCAATTCTGTCTTTTCTTGTCCAGTTATTAGCTGGCACACAACTCTAAAGAAGCGCTTTCCCTTTAATTAATTCATTAACTACTCTATTAATTTATATCATTGTGGATTCATAGATCCTTATTTTATTCAATGAGTTATACTTCATTACTGTCATTTATTTTGATCCACAAATTGTTTTAAATTTGGCTGTAGGGACCTCTTCAAGCTGACTCGTATCTCCTTGTGACACGTCCCCATCATAATCTGAGCCTGTCCTTATTTTTTGGCACAGAAAGATATTCCAGCTTCATCTTGTATCTTC